GTTTTGATGGTGTCCCGGTCATGTTTTGATGGTGTCCCGGTCATGTTGTGATGGTGTCCGGGTCATGTTTTGATGGTGTCCCGGTCATGTGATGGTGTCCCGGTCGTGTTGTGACGGTGTCCCGGTCATGTTTTGATGGTGTCCCGATCATGTGATGGTGGCGCGGTCATGTTGTGATGGTGTCCCGATCATGTTTTGATTGTGTCCCAGTCACGTTGTGACGGTGTCTCGGTCATGTTTTGATGGTGCCCCTGGTCATTTTGTGATGGTGTGTCGGTTATGTGATGATGGTGTCCAAGGAAGAGATGGCCGATGTGTTGAAAACAGCAGCTGTTTTCAGATTTTTCTTTTTGTCCGGGTTTGTATCTTGCTATTGGGGTCTCCAGCTGGGCTAATTTTTTTCTGGGATCACTCTTAACGCATATAATATGCTACCCCCCCCATGATTTACAATTTTTGCCTCCCGCATATGTTCTCCTAGACTGCCAAAACCAAAACCAAAAAGCAGCAAAACGCAACTCTGACGAACATCTTTGGTTTCAGCCTGAACTGTTGTTTCAATTGAGTCGTGTTAGTTTTTTTTGCTTCATTCATCAAAAAGCAAAACATCACAAGGTCTTTTTTGTTTTGCTTTGGTCTATGCAGCCTTGCATTCCGAAAAGAAAAGTAAGGGAAAAACACACACACAAGTTGTTTGTTGTTTTTTGAGAAAACAGTAAGCGAAAACCAAATACACCTGACCTTGTGTTTCTTTTTTGGAATTGTCACTGCACAGACCAAAGCAAACGCACAAACACACCACAACTTGTTTGTTTGATGAATGAAACCAAAAAAACAAAACAATCTCAATGAAAACCAAAGGACACATTTTTCAGACTGAAACCAAAGATTCTCCTCAAAGTTTTGTCCCCCACCTGTCACGTGAGGGTTGTTAGATTAATGTCAGTTACTTCGCGTCTCCTTCTCCTTCTCCTCGCCTCCTCAACCGCAAGTGTAGGATGGCAGTGTTCCCCGCCGGACCTCAACCGCGAGTCAGAAGATACGCCAGATAGAACGCCAGAAAGAATGTCAGAAGATATGCCAGAAAGAAACAGTTGTCAAATAACGTTTCAATACATGCCGAAAAATTGCCAGATTGAAATGTCATGGTGGGGGTCACTCGAAGTGAAGTATATTTTTTGGTTTTTGGTTTAGGCAGTCTATGAGAAGAAAACAAATAGACAAGAGATAGAGCAACAAATATGGACTCAAGATTCAATCAAGATTGCGGGTAAAACGTTTTCTAGGCATCTTGAATCTTGAATCCAGGTCCACAAAAACTATTCTTTTCTCTACACAGGGTTTTCCATTTTAGAAACTTGTTTATCTCAAATCTATGCACCAAAATATAGATATACTATTATAAATATTGTTCCCCCTTGACATTTGACGCCAATGTATTCACACATGAAAAGAGGTAGGTCAGGACATGGCTGTAGAGGAGTGAGGAGTCCTTGCTTCAAAAGGTATTACAAACATATGAAAAGGTAGATCTTCGTGGGAGGTGCCAAAATATGTATATATATCTGTATTTGGTTGGAGGCCATCGCTTCTAGGTTGGAGGCCATTACAATTAGGTTCCCATTGCTATTAGGTTCCCATTATATATTTTCGACAAAATATTTACCAGTCCTGACTGGTTTTCACTTGGTCATTGTGCCCTGACTGTGAGCCACATGCAAATGGGCGAGAAAAAAACATTGGACATCATTGGGACTAAAGACCTGGAGACAAGTACTTAAAGGGTTTTGCAGTGCATTGGTACTTGGTTAGGCTATTTTGTTGTTTCAAACCTTGATTGTTCGCTTTCAATCGTGGTTCATCCCAGTTCGTTTTGTTCGAAGTTCACTTCATTTTCAAAGCACCATGCCCCGCTCACCCAAATTCCCGAAAGGGAAGGACCTCTACCTACCCGCCTTGCTGCGCCTTGCCGTCAGGTCCATTCTGCTACCACAGAATGAGCAGTTCTACGTCACTGACAGCATGTGGGTGAACTTGGGCAATGTGCGCCCTGACCAGTCGCTGATTTGTGGTTGGCAAAAGGGAGGACTTGAGGGGAGTTCATGTTGTTCATTCATGGGATCTATCATCCGTCAGCCCTGCCACTATTCACAAGATTGGGGTGATGCAAAGTGATCACATCTAAATATTCCATCTATACTTCCTAATTATGCATTTTGATCGCTACTTTTTTACATGTTTTTTTGTTTCCTTCACCAACCACGGAATTCAGGCACTTTGAAGCTGTTCAAATCACCTGCAGCCACATGCATCAACCACGTCCGACCTGCTCAGTCGCCGGTCTTCAAGGGCTGTTCCAAAGGCTGGCTGGGGGCTGAGGGGGTGGGTGAACAGTTGGGCCCCAATTCAATTGGCCAGGGAATTCGTGTGGATGAGTCGGGATGAGACCATCATAGCTTGGAACGTTTTTCGGGATACGCCCGAGCATCATTTGAGTCCGGTGAAGGAGCTAGAAGGCTACAATCGACCATCACCACAGTGAGGAGCGATGTATCATCAAAGTGTGTGAAAGTTCAGAGCTGACTCAACGTTTTGGAAGAAAAGAAAGCAAGCTGGATGAGTGAATGCCACAAAAAACATCCCAGTTCCGGACGGTTGCTATGAGGTCAGTTGACTTATGTAGAGCCGGATCGAGCCAGATCGGATGGATGAAACACAGGTCTTCCAACGACCCATCTGAAATGGCCGAACGGATGAGCTGTGAAAATTCTTATTGTTACTACTAGTATATAACAAGTGCATCGCTAGTAGAAACAGGTGCCTTACTAGTAGTAACAAGAAGCTATTAGAATTAAATTTAAACAATTAATAGCTTCTTGTTACTACTAGTAAGGCACTTGTTCCTAATAGCTTTTTGTTACTAGTAGTAAGGCACTTGTTACTACTAGCGAGGCACTTGTTACTAGTAGTAACAAGAAGCTAATGCATATCGTGATAAATGATCATGGACAAGTCATGCAGATAGCGAGAGCCCCTCACCTGACTCGTCCTACGACTGCAGACGACAGATCTGACAGGTACACAGATGTACACAGTAGCTGTCATGATAGCACCTCCTGCAAGCTGGTACAAACCTCAAGCTCACCAGAGCTGCTGTAACAGTCCTGACCTTCAAACTCCAGAATGTGAAATCCTTCTTTTCTGCTCACCAAGCCCTCCACTTCCTTTCGCTCCCCACACCAAACACCGCGTCCATCGCCACCCGTCGGCGGCGCGAGCGAGGTCGCTGGCGAAGTGGCGTCAGGGAGCGCACACGTATCGCTTCTCCGGGCTCAGTGGCGAGCCCAGCGAAGCCGAGCACGGTACCGAGGAGGAGCGGAGAAAAGCCAGCATTGTCTTAAAGGGGTCCAGTGGATGTATAGGTATATAGGATATGGAATAGGATGGTATAGCCGGTAAGAGCTGTAGATCAGGGATGATCAACGACAGATCCAGATCTCCCCTGGTGAGTATTGAGCAACGTGCAAGTGAAATCAGGGTTGATGAAGGACCCAGAACCGGCTTCGATCATTTTCCCTTCCAACAACACTTGGCCAGATAAAAATGGATGATTGGTGCATGTTGATGCTTCACTTGAGCGCCACACGTGCAGACAACTGCAGGTCTCCCAAAAAAACTGAGATGACGTCCAAACCTAATAGCGCCTCCAACCTAATAGAGCAATGGTCTCGGAAAATGACTGATCAAGTATTGAAGCTGCTTCTTCCACAGCAAACGCCACGCGACACGGAAAACGCCTCGCCTCTCCGGAGTTTCGCTCCTTCCGGGCAGATGGTGTATGCCGAGGTTTCATCAACGTGACCAGGAAGATCAACGTCTTCAAAAAGGACCGGTTTTTCTACGTTCGCTTAAGATAGAGAAAACAACCATCGAACCGTCGCACAACCTTAATCAAACAAAGACAAGTACAAGCAAGATCTGAACCAATTGGGAGTACCGGAGGAGCGACGTCTCAAGACGGGCCGGACCTTTTTGGGGTGAAGTCGGGAGATTGGCGTGAAGTCGGCGTGAAGTTAGGAGGTTGATGGATGCCCTTTCTATCTCTGGATATAGAGATTTTATGATATTGTATAATAAATATCCAGAGGTAGAAAGGGCATATATACTAAATATATTGTTCTATTGTTTTTGTTCGCCCCATAGCTCCGCCCCATAGCTCGTCAAGTCAAGTATATACTGAGAGTTGAACTCGGACGCCCATCTCCAAGATCGCGGGGAGTGGCCAAGTCTGCTTTGCCACCAGCGTTTCCATCTCGGTTGAATTGAACAGAATCTCGATTTGTACTGACAGGACATTCTATGTCCAGCCACACAAATGAGGTCGAAAAGAAATGACCATTTCGCCTGCCAATCCGTGGACTGAATCACCATTTTCGCCAGCCTTGCAGCCTATCTGAACAGTTCTTGAACCGTTTCACCAGCTTCCCCCACACGGAGAGGACATCTTCTGGGACTTGGATGGCTCATTGACCGGCACAAAAGATTCTTATACCACCTGGGCAGACACGTTGCTTGGATTGATATCGCTGTGTTTGTCCTTCTTTTCTCATTTGCTTGATATGTGTTCCAGTTGCTTGTCGGCAGAGTCGACTATTGGTTCTTTGCTGGCAAAGGGGTCGATCCTTTTAAAAACTAGAGCGAGGATGGCTAGCCTCCAGGGTAGGTCAGGTAGAGCGAAATGGACAGACCGCACTGGCGGTTGGCCTGTGTGTTTCGCTGTGGTGTGGAATTGGCCGTCAGATTCAAGCAGAGATCCGATTCAAGCAGGGGCCATTGCTCTATTAGGTTGGAGGCCATTGCTGTTAGGATGGCGAGCTGGCTTTTCGAATGCAGACCTGAAGTGATCTCGAAGACTGTGACAGGAGAGTTCACCAACCATTGTCCACACAGCCCTTCCGTCACAGCAGGTTTTCCAACACAGCTTGCAGCAAAGCACAGCCCTGGTCTTTTCTGGCGCACCGAGGTTCAATCTGCAACACCCAGGATGCTCCTATACTCAAGTCCTCTTCAACCAGACGGACGACGGCCTCGAAGAGTCCACCTGGTGACGACCCGTCGCGGACGACCGGTCGCGGCGCAGACGTCGCGGACGTCGTAGTGGGGTGGTGGGAGGGTAGTGGGCACATGTGCAGAGCAAGCAAGGCGTTTAGAATCCAAGTCATGGTTGACTTGGTTCGATGGGGTATCAAATCCTCAGCTCCAACAGCTGGTCGTTCGGCCAACGAAAAACATTCAAGGCGGGCGCATGTGGGCGCTTGGAATCCTTTTTGGGCTGGTAATGGTAGGGCAAGAACAGAGGGATGCTTGCATCCAACAGCACAGCGGTGATCTGGTTGGCTCCAGACAAGTCTCTGATATGAGATTGAGATTGTTCACAATACTTCACACACCAATCTCATATGTTCGAGTGCCCTTTGAAAGAGGGTTTGATTGTGGGCAACAGATGAGATTTCGAGGCCACAACTTGTTCAAACTCTTCGAAGCCACGAATTCTTCGGGCCACGTCTTCTCCCCGATTGCAAAGACGTTATTCACCGATTGGATCGGGATCGGCCAAAAGAACCACCTTCCCGGGGAGCCTCATCAGAAATGCTCTACATTGGAGCCACCCCCCATTAGGTTGGAGGCCATTGAGTAGCCCGAGTAGGCCATCGCTACTAGGTTGGAGGCCATTGTTCTTATAGAAACACCAAACATATATGATGAGGCCATCCACATCACCTTCTCGTGACATCCCGACAGCATCGTCACAGGTACAGCGACACCGACAGCATCACGGACGAGCCGTCGATCTTCTTCACGAACCCGGGCATCTTTCAGCATCGAGGCTGGACGCTACTAGGGGCTCCTGGCCTTACGACTAGGAACAAGAAGCTACTAG